AAGCAGTGGTATCAACGCAGAGTACTCGATGGAAAGATCCTTTTCTGCCTGCCGTATATCTCAGAGGAGTTGAGCAAGACGGTCAGAAAATTGGTACTACAAGCGGACCTCCAGGGATTGGATAAGGGTAGTTGACATACCCCCTACAAACCTCAAACATCAGCTAGTACGAAATAGGGCATATGATAGGCTTTGCATGACTCCAGGATGCATCATATGCCCGCAGGGCAGGGAAGGCGACTGCATGGTTGCGGGGGGGTGGTGTACCTTATCACCTGTCAGACATGTGGAGGTACGTACATCGGCGAGACGGGCGGCCCCTATGTATACGCGTAAAAGAACACCTAGACGGGGCTCAAAAAATCGAACATGGCAACTCCACTGGGCAAGCATCGCAGTCAGTTCCATAATGACGCAGAGATACGCGTGGAGGTCACGATCTTGGCGTACGAATCCGAAAATCCTAGCGCGCAAGACTTTAGAAGCGTTTTGGATTGCCGCCAAAAATCCAAATTTGAATAGGAAAGATAAGTGCATAGACATCACTAATGAGTTGGCGCCTTATCAGAGCCTTTGCGGCTTCTGAGGTCAATTTGAGGCCAGGCGAATAGGTATATAAGAAAGTAAGAGCTCAGTTACTGGTATAGTGGTCTGCAATACCACTTTGTCGGCATCTGTTTAGGTGAGCATTAGTTTAATCCCTGCATTCACTTTCGAGTTCTTGATTCACTGACGCATTGGGCGTTTTCCCTAGGTCTTGAGGCGGTTTTTGATAGGATAGTTCACTTATGCATTCGATGATTTCAGACTCTGAAGAAGGCGATACCGCCGAAAACGTTAGTCGAATAAAGGATATACCAATCCCGGTGTCCAGCTAAACAAGCCACAACAAGACTCATCAGTAATTTCAAGAGTAATGGACTATATTGCAAACACCTTGGCCTCCTTCGAGCAGCTCGCTGTCTCATCCTTTGCTTTCCCTGTCGATTACAAACCTTAGTGACCTTGCAATGACTCCAACTGTGCGTCGAATCAATTTCCAGACTATTGCAAAGTTCCATTCGTTGCGTACTCGCTAAGGATTAGTATGCTTCAACAAAGTCTTCCTGCATGGTAAAGCAAAGAAAGGATTCCTGAGCGCTTTTAACAACCGGTAGGGCTTGCGCCACTTATGCGAAGGGAAAAGGATACCAAACATGGTCTTCTCACGACATGTGAGCTGTGTCGCGATGCAGCAAAACCTTTTCGAAGTGAATGCGCTTTATCGCAGCTTCGGCCTCCTGGAGGAACACTATGCTTAAAGTTGTCGATGCAAATCATCTTCCTTCACCTTGTGTTAAACATACGCTTAAGATTAGTTTATTGACATTAGCCCATAACAACCAACAATGTTTACATAAAAGGAATGATCAACGACTCATGAGCCCTATAAGTGCTTCGAGTGGGAAGGTTCCTCCACCATTGGCACAACGTGAGCAGACACAAGTTTTTCGTCCATCCCTCATCTCACAATGTCCAGTGGCACAATTCTGAAAATAGTCACGTCTGATAATTCCAACCAATACAAACCCAAGAACTTAGCAGGAGCTACCTGAGCACTGCACGATGCTATACATAGAGCATGCGCCGCTTTCTCTAAATAGGGAACATCCATACGAGCGCATGTGGTCAGGTAACCTTGGCTAGCAACAAGGCTGATGAGGCAGACAATAAGGCACAGAACAATTTGGCTATGCATTTTGCTGAAAATATAGGATAAGGAACAATTATTGAAGAATGGTATGAGTCATTGGCGATTTATAATAGAAAAGAGAAAATCGGCTTTAGTTTGTTAGGTTGTTTGATAGGTCGATAAATGACGTGGATAGATATACAGAGCGGATTTGAATAATTCATCACAAAAGATTTTGTGTACAACAGTTGTTCTGTATTTTCAAACTGTTTCTAATCCAGCCATCAAAACGTTTTCGAGCGAAATCAATTATTTTACTCAGTGCTAAAAGGCTTTTGGAAAAACGAAAAAATTTTAATGAATATCAGAGTACAGTATGAAAAAACATGCTAAAAGCTCACGTTGCGCTGATTAAATTATATTTTTTCAGTCATAAGAAGGGATGAGTTTCGAAATATGAGCATATATCAATGCTGTTTGACAAATACAGGTAGATTGGACAACAGAGTAAGTAAAAATAAGTACAGTAATTGAAATTTAACAACTTGTAGTTATGCGGAATGATCAAAAATGTTTGTAACTCTACGTATGGTTTCCATGGGAAGAATTTGCGTATTACAAAAAGTTGGAGACGGCTCTGGGCGCCATGATGATGCCGTTGTCCAGAAGTTGTTGCCAATAGAAATTTTCCTCAATCAAAAAGGCTCAAGTGGAGATCGTGCATGGCATACATATTTTGAATGTTGAACCTGCGGTGAAATGAACATGAAAAATTTGCCGGCTCCACAAAATGCCATGTAGAAGAGGTGTACTAAAGGAGTCAAAGTCATCTTGATGGAGGCAAAGCAAGCCTTATGATCTGAATACGTACATAGCAGGAACGAGCGTATGGCAAATCTGCAACCTCGTTCGTCTGACTAGTTTTATACCAACGGATTCTATGTAATCGATACTAAATTTAGCAGCTTGAAAAAGTTTTGTCTAGCAAATGACGTGCCTGACTCATTGGTAAGAAGAAGTTGAGACGCAATGATTACCAGTGCTAAGCCAGTGATTCAGCTTCAGCAATTGCATAACCACCTTCAAAGTTGCAAATTTTCGGAAGTGCAAATAATGGCTATGAATTTTGCTCGATCTCTGCCGTGTTTGACTTTTTCATACATTTCCGTCAGTTTTATTATACCAGGTTACTGATAACAAAAGCTTTGGTAGAAAAATGAGTTTAATCACCTGTCGGAAGCAAATGTTATCACACATTTTCAACAGGAAAGCTGCAACAGCTGATGCACTGCAATCGTTAAGAATCATATGAAAGATGCAATAATGAGCAATTCTTTGCTGGAACTTTCTCCTGCACACAAAAACATTAGCAACCATTGTTCGTTCCTATGATTTGTGAATGATCCGCTGCAAGTGCAAGACGTTCGCTTCGATAATTTTATAGAGCAAAAAAAGGAATCTGCCACAGAAATGCAGGGATGCTTTTGTTTATTACTTGTAATGGGGCATAGGCAGACTCGGTACAGGGTTCGGCATAAGGGCGCGTTTGTCATTTCGAGCTCTAACAAAGAGGAGTTTTATAACCGATAGTGTACAGTAAAATTTAGTTTCAGCACAGATTTATGTAAACGTTTGAAAAACTTGTTTGAAGCGGAAGTTTCGCCTTCACATGAGTTTCTCAAAAATTTTCCTTTTTTCATAATCCTAATGCACGCATGCACACCAGGTTTTGTGCCAAATCATCATCTGTATCATAAATGACATCTGAGCAATTCTGGACGGTATTGTTCCAGTTGCACATTTGATTTTTCGACCTAAAAACGCTCAGGGACCCGTCATACTTTGCGAGAAAAGCCCAAAAGCGCTCAAAAAAGCCCCCAAAAAGCCGGAAAAAGCTCACAAAGCCCGAAAGAGCCGGAACGCAGAAACGAACTTTTGGTAGAGTCCTGACATTATTTTGATGTGCAGACGACAGAAAATGAAGCAAAAAGATTCGGTTGCGAAATCAACACACATGCCTTAGCGTCAAAACGGAAGGGACGTTTTCTTTCGGGCTTCTTTGGGTTTTTTGGGCTTTCTTCGGAGAAGTATGACGGGTCCCTTATAACTGGACCTCCAGAGATGTTTGGCAGATAAGAAAGGTTCGGAACCATGGTTCATCTCAAAGTAGTGTAGGTGTTATTTGGAAAAACCACTTCGTCTAGAAAGGCTTCCCTTGTCAGCTTTCGAAATGGCGTCTTGAACACAATCATGTTTGAACACGTCAGTCATGCAAATCTGGTTTCCACGGGACTGAAGTTGTCTTAGGCCCCGGACAGAATTCACGCGATTTGATCGTCGCGACTGAATCGTGACGAGACAACTGTTACAACATCATTCCATGCCGATCAACTTGCATTTCGGTTGTGATACTTTTCCAGCCCGAAATTTTTGAATGTGAAATGAAAATGAATGGAAACGTTGGCGACTGAGTCGCGACGATCAAATCGCGTGAAGTCTGTCCGGGGCCTTAGGGATACGTGATGCATATGAATGTATAAACACGATAACCCATTTGCTTCTATACATAGAACGACTTCCAGCCTGACATTTGCCACCCTTGTGCCGCATCCTGATTTGGTAAAACTGTACTCCGAGTCCTCGAGATAAAAGTTCAAATCACGCATCCGTTAAATTCCGCAAAATACATAGGATTCGAGCCAAAAAGTCCTCAGCATAAACTAAATTAGTAAACTAAATTAAACTAATTAACTAAATCAAACTAAATTCTTCTGGGCTCATCTTACAACTGGACAGGTGATTGAAAACGCGAAGAAACTTATTAACGCTACGGCAGAGTCCACTAGTCTTCTATAAGCAGAATCGGGTTCTTTGCTTCTTCTGCACTTCCGACAAAAAGCGAAATTTGTTTTCTGCGACCTGCATTTTGAACCTTGCAAGTATTAGATTTTTTACGTTTGTTTGTCTCAGCTATTAAAGGTATATGGTGAAGTTTATTATCTTGGTTCGCAGTTTTTGGTGAAGAAGCCCCTGCACATCATTTGTAACTTCACTTCTCCGCCCTACTCAAGGTTTGCTGAGGTGTGACATGAGAAATAGTGCGGTAGCCGTGTTTATCCCTTGAGGCAGTGGCGTACCCAGGATTTCGGCTCGGGGGGGGGGGGCGCGACAAAAAATTCTTGGTGCGTGGCGTCAGCTACGCACTCCGAAAATTTTTTTGGTATGCTCCCGAAAATTTTCTCGGGCTCAGAACCCCGAAATTTCAGAAAAAGGGGGCGTGGCTGTCGCCACGCCCCCGAAAAAAAATTTTTTATAAGGCTAAAATGAATTTTTAAAAAATTTTAAAAATTATTTTGATTTTTTTACAAGTATAAACAAGTCATTTGCACATTTTTATAACCCATGTAAGTAACTTTTAAAAATTTCGCGACCCATTCTCCGGGGGGAGACGCCCCCCTTCTCGGTACGCCACTGCCTTGAGAGTAAACCTTGCCCCAGAAGGCCATTATCCCGTATTCACGAACGTGGCTCATCAACAACTTCAACGCTAGCATGGAGCAATATTAGATTCATTTTAACACTTTACAAGCATCAAGTGATCTGTCGATGCACCACTCACTCCTGTGATGCTGTCTTGACAACAAGCACATACTTATAGTTACTACAATCCCAAACTTACTATGGCCTCTTTTCATGTTTTCTGTTTTTAGTCCCTTTCGTTTTTCTTTTGTTATTAGCGGTACTATATTTGGCCGAGTTGTAACAGTAAAAATTTAGATTTGAGTAAAGTACACTTCCACTTAAGGGCATCGATCTGTCGAACGTCAAGCTCAGTAACTCAAAGAAATTTTCGTAATATGGAATTACCTCATTCAATTGTTAATCCGCCAATGTACTCCTTCAAAAAATGATTTGATACATGATCAAGCTATCGCTCAACTAAATTGATAAGCTGACTAACTAAATACTATAAAGTTTTACTCTAGTTTTTGGAATATGATTAGACGAGACAAAAAGCGGACTTACAAAGGAGGGTCAAGAAGTCGAAGTGGTCGATCACCACAAGCACATTATTAGTGAGAGCTTTGGGCACTAATTCCGAATTTGCTCCCTCTATCCGCAGAGCGTTTCCGGAAAGGAAGCTGTGAGCATCTTTGGAGTTGAAAGATGAACTGATGGCACTGTTGAAATCGGTTGCTACATTCTCTCTGGACCTCAAATGAAGCAGCAACAAATGTCACAATGCTTTATACTATTAGGGTGTCCCATAATTATTTACCGTTTTTACCATAAACATCAGCATTCTCGAGAACTGGGGCATCTATAAAGGGCATAAATATACATATGAACGTACTTTGTGTGTATGAACTACATAATCACGTGCGTAGGAGGAGCTCAGGAAGTCTAGAGTCGGAGTTTGCCATTTTGCCTCATTCATTTGTTTCTTTATTTCTAGCCATGGAAAAGATTCGAAAAGTGTACAGTTGAATACACGATGTGTCAAGCAGCTAGGGTAAATGGGGAATTTTTGGACATTTTGGGTCGGAGATGCGATTTTTTCCCGAAAAGTTCGTTTATGATGCTATCAGATTTGGGCTCAGAACTTCAGGTGTAATACGATTTGGGCATACTCTTGGTAGCCGTCTTACAGAGCTTGCTTTGCCCTGTCGAATGGTTACTCAAGAAACATCAATTGGAAGAAAGATACAAAATGGCGAAGGCTACAGTAAAAACGCTAAATAATTATGGGACAACCTAATATAAACTCCTTTTACCTAGCATATCTTTTCTTCCTATTTGTCCATTTAACGTCTAGAAAGGCTATTGAATTTATCACGAATCAGTTCATTTTCGACTTTAGAAATACTCATAACTTCTTCTCCAAAAGCGTTCTGCAAAGACGAGAAACGGATGAAATCAGCGTTCCAAGCTCTCACTGAAGGTGTGCAAGTTGCAGGATCAGCGACTTCGAGATCGTGGCCCTTTATTGAAAATTTGAGGTAATGTTATAGTATTATTAGAGTAAAACAACTGCTCAATAGCTTTTTAACAATTTTATGCTATTCTAATATAAACACGCGTG